AGACACACACAGAGTCAGAGAATTAAATAGTGAGTTGAGAAGGATGACCAGGCTGGCCAAACTTCACTATAAAAACAAAGTGGAGGAAAAATTCACCAATGGCAATGCAAGGGAGGCTTGGCAAGGACTCAATACCATGATGGGTAGAGCCCAGAAACCAGCCCATATCCAGTGCTCTGATCCTGCCACCTTTGCAGAGCAGCTGAACATCTACTACAGCAGATTCAACGAATCCTCCCACCAGAATGACTGGAACCTCACCAGCACCTTCTGTCAACCAACTGCAGTGGATAAAAGCAAGGTGACATCCATACTGAGCCGCATTAACAGCAACAAAGCCTCTGGTTCGGACGGGCTCAAAGGTAAGGTGCTGAGGGAATGTTCTGCTCAGCTGGGTGAAGTCATCACTCGGCTCGTCCAGCAGCTCCTGGACTCCAGCTGTGTTCCTCAGGTGTGGAAGGAATCCACACTTGTACCCATACCAAAGAAGTCCAATGCCAGGGAGATGAAAGACTTCAGACCCGTGGCACTTACATCCATACTTTGTAAGTGTATGGAGAGGGTGGTGAGTGACCTCCTAACAGCCATGGTGGCAGATGATCTTGATGGCCTCCAGTTTGCCTACAAGGCAAAGCGGGGGGTGGAGGATGCCTGTCTGACTCTCCTGGACACAGTGAGTAAACACCTAGACCCCCCCCCACCCTCACACACAGATTTTATTTATGGACTTTTCCTCAGCTTTTAATACAGTTGACCCACACACCCTCTGCAGCCACCTTGTGGGACTGCAGGTCAATCCAGCACTCATCTTATGGATAAAGATCTTCCTACAGGACTGGCCTCAGCATGTGGTGGTCAGTGGTTTTAAATCCAGAAACATGATTTTAAACACTGCACTCGCGCAGGGCTGTGTTTTATCCCCCATTTTATTTTCCATCTACACAAATAATATAACCTGCAATAACAATGGCATGTCCCTTTTTAAATATGCAGATGATATGGCCTCGGTGGCCCACATTAAGGATGCAAACTCTTTGTCTGCATACCACCAGCAGGTGGACACCCTGATGTCCTGCATTAGGGAGAGCTCCTTGGAACTTAACATCTCCAAGACAAAGGAGCTATGCTGTGCAGGAAGGCGAGCACCTGATCTTACCCACCCTCTTTTTGAGCCCCTGAAGCTGCAGGGACAGGCAGTGGAGCAGGTAGAGGCATTTAAATACCTGGGCATAATGGTGGACAACCTGGTGTCCTTCTCCCAGCACAGTGACTCTGTCTATAAGAAGGCACAACAACGCCTGTTCCTACTAAGGAAGCTCAGGAGCTTTGATGTGAGGAAGGACATTTTAACAGCCATTTACAAGTCACTCATTGAATTGGTCCTCACTTTCAACATCACATCCTGGTTCAGCTCCATCTCTGTCAAGAATAAATCAAACCTTTCCCGGATCATCAACCAAGCAAGTAAAATAACTGGCAAAACTCAGACTCCATTATCAGAACTTCATACCTAAGCAGTCACACGGAAAGCCAACCTCATCACAGCAGATCCCACTCACCCCCTGCACAAGTCCTTCCAGCTACTACCATCAGGTCGCCACTATATATCCCACTAGGTTTTTAGGAATTGTGTGTTTCTGTGTTGTGTTGTTAGTTGTATGAGTAACGTCTAAGACGATTTTCTGTCACGACAGACAATAAAGCTTTTCTGATTCTGATTCTGTAAGTGTCATATTTTGTGAAGACAGATCTCTAGTGGCTGGACTGCCCTCGACTCTCCATCGATAAAACAAACTGTCTGGCTTTGTAGTCTTTGAGCAGTAGGGAGTGAGGCAGAGGGACCATGGGGTATATCCATAGATGCTCTATCAAGCAGCAGTCTTTTTCAGTGGCACTGGATAAGAGCAGGCTGGCAGCCACTTGTCAGGCCTGAACATCTATATCTATCAGCCCGCTTTTGTCATGCAGAAGTGGGTGTGGCTTCATCTTAAGTGGTTTGAAAAAACAATAGATGCATTAGAGGAGAGCTGAAGAGAGGGCAGGGAGAGAGAGGCATAAGGTAAGGATTTGGTGTCATCCTCCTTTGGAGTCTTAACTCAGTCAGATCTTAACACACAGATGTGAAACACAACATGTATCATTCAGGTGTGACTTACACTTCTCAGCTGGCCACCAACATGGCTAGAAGTTGATATGTGGTTGAATAGGTTGTGATGTCTGGTGACCACAATTTAATGTCAGGACAACGTCTAAAGCCAATGTGAATGTGACATAGAATACTGACCACATATTATGTTGATATTATGTTGGTTTTAAGTTGTGTGAAATAACCAAAATCCAATGTCTTCCAGACATCTCACACCAATATTATCTTGATGTAGAATACCGGCATTTAGTCGTAAGGTGCAGAGAACAGAACATCAGTATTAATGTCCCCAAAACACAAAATTCTAATGTTGTCAGACATTTAAAACATTGTCGACCTGATTTCATTGTCTGTACATTCATGGGTACATTGTTAACAAGAACAAATAGCTAGAAAGGCATACTTCTAATCGTGCCGGTTTGCTAAAATATAAAAGAACATGTAGCTCTTTCTGAGGAAAAAAGTCAGAGATCCAAAATTCAAGGATGTTTGTCCAGATGGGATTTAAGGACCAGGGAGTTTACTACAAAACTGGAGGTAATTGCAGCGGTAATTATTAGTGAGGTGGTGGTAAAGAATTATCCACACATGCACTACATCGAAAACACTGACCAGTGCATGTAATATTAAAATCCCCTTACTTCTCCTACAGAAATAGATGTAGTCTGAATGGGGCTCAACACATTTAAATTTCTCCAGGTTAGCTAGCCCCATTTGTGACCTCAACATGATTAAAGAGAGAGTGTTTGTTCAGGGTGATTATTTAAAGCCAACATTTCCACAGACTCTGCAGCCACTGTTGGGTCTGAGCTGAGAGGAGCAAAGCAGAGGCACAGTGTGGAAATATCTGATTAAAAGTTTGGCCCTCGGGCTAACAGGCAGGAACTTAACACCTTTATTGCACATCTATAACTTTGATGCAACATGCTATGCTAACCAGCCACTTACTATCTACTTAAAACATTACTAAGCAGTACACTGTAGCTTCTTGGCTCAGTGTAGGGCAGTACACCTGTGTCTTAGGTAAAAAGATGAAAACATTAATAAAGACTCTTTATTTGGACATTATGTGTCATGAAGCAAACAACATGTGAAGCTGTATGTGAAATTACATATCATCGTAGCTCTTTTTGGCATGTTCTCAATATACTGCACTATAAAAATGATACTGTTGAGACTGAGCAGTATCAAAATACATAGCTCCGATATGTGATATCTGAATAGCGGTTTCATTGTGCTGTTATGTGGAGGCTGTAGAGAAAAGGATGTGTTGATAGCCAGTAGTGGGAGGGCTTTGTTTCTATTAGCATTTTGGGTTTCAGTGTTCTCTGGGAGTTTGCCAGTGTGTCTCCACAGGGAGGAGAAATTCACCAAAACAAGTTGTTTTTGTAGTGCTGCTGTATTTCATTTTGATAAGAGAAGATGTGTGGGACTGACAGCATGAATACTAATAAGAGTTATTTTTAACTGTTGTTGATTCAGTTTGATGTTGATGAAAGATCTGTTTCCTCAAAAGGTTCTGAATTTGTTGTGTTAGGTGAAAAGCATCGTTTTGACAGCTGGATCATGTATAATGCACTGGATGAAAGGTCTATGGAAAGATCAAAAAATCAAATGTGCAGCATACTTTAAAAAAAAAACATCTTTAGGGCCTTGGTGCTCAGTGTGGGGCTAATTGTGGTTTAGTACTGTGCTTGTGTGTTTCTTAAAGAACATTTTGTATTTAAACTCCCAAATTGCTATATGTTTGGCTAAATACAAAAAATGTTATGCCTTCAAGCCAATGGTAACTGTAGCGATCATTATGTTTTTAGGTTGTTCACCAGTCTGTATGTCCATCTATCCTTTTGTCCCATTCTCGTGAATGTGATTTCTTATTCTAATTTTGCACAAACATTCACTTGAATGTAAACATGAACGGATTTGATTTTGGTGGTGATAGGTCAATGGTCAAAGTTATTTTGGCCTTGTGTGTCTCAGTCTTCTGAATGCGATATCTCAAGATCCCCTCAAAGTAATTTCTTCAAATTTTGCACAAACGTCCACTTGTACTCAAGGATTAATTGATTAGATTTTGGTGGTAAAATTTCAGAGTTCCAATTCACCAGGACCTTTAATCTGTCTCATTCTCGTGAACGTGATATCTCAAGAGCACCTTTAGGGAATTTCTTGAAATGTGGTACAAACATCTACTTGGACTCAACAATGAACTGATCAGAATTTGGTGATCAATGGTCAAAGTTCACTTTGAGATAGCGTTTGTCTTATTTGGTGAACATGATATCTCAAGAGGGCCTTGAGAGAAATTCCTCAAATTTGGGACAAATGTCCACTGGAACTCAAGAATGAAATGATTAGAATTTGGTGGTTGAAGGTCAAAAGCCAAGGTAACTGTGATCTCACAGAACATGTTTTTGGCCATAATTCAGGAATTTCTACACTAATTATGACAAAATTTCACACAAATGTCTATTAAGATAGAATGATGAAGTGACAACATTATATACCCAAAGGGTCATCTTCACTGTGACATCATAATATTCTCCCAAAAACTTTTTTGGCCATTACTCAGCGTCATATCTCAGGAACAGAAGGGGAGACATTTGGTCAGATAGTGAATTGGTGACACTAATCTTGGGTGTCCACCTTGAAACTGTGCTGACTGTATAGATCTTCTGTGCTGCAGGGTTGAAGATGTTTGTGAAGCCTCCATGTTTTCACAGACGTGGATGTAAACTGTAACTGCAACTTGATGGGTCATGGAGGCATACAACTGCGAGGCAGTTATTCTAGTTTTTACATCTTTCTTTTCACTGACCTTCTCTCTTTTCCCCTTTTTTATCTTCTATTCCAGGAGCCCAGCTCTGATTGGCTGCTTTGTGGTCGATAGGAAGTACTTTGAGGAGATTGGCTTGCTAGATGAAGGCATGGAGATTTATGGTGGAGAAAACGTGGAGCTTGGCATCAGGGTGAGTTGCCTTGAGAACTCGTATCTTATTAGCTACACAGCCCCACAAACTCCATGAAGTACAATATATTTCTACATCCCAGCTACAGCCCTGTACAATATATATATAGAATATCTGTAACAGTGTAATTTGTGCCCTGTACACCACAGAGACGTTAACTATTGTCACCATCCAAATTGAAATATCCTGAATAGCAGGCATGTCAAGCATACAGAAAAAGAAGCGTGACCTTTCCTTTGACAGAATGGGAGCTTTATCAGTCATTCACATTATTCATTCACTCTGACTCAAGCAAACTGAGCTCATTACTAATAATGTAACAAACGCCAGATAAAATTGTGATTTCATGTAATAGAATTACCTTCAAAATTAGTTTTTAAGCCTCCGTGCCAGCTAAAGCCATGGCTGAATATATTATGTTTCAAGTTGTCTGTCTGTCTGTCCATCCTTCCATCCATCCTATTCTTGTAAACACAATATCTATCTAGATGCCTTGAGGAAATTTCTTAAGATTTGGCATAAATATCTACTTGGTCTCAATGATGAATGATGAATGGTGGCCATAGGTCAAGGTCACTGTGACCTCACATTTGTCTCATTCTCTTGAATGTGATATTTCAAGAATGCCTTAAGGGAATTTCTTCGAATTTGGCACAAATATCCACTTCAAAGGTCAAGGTTACCGTGGAATCACAAGTCATGTTACCTCAAGAATTCATATGCTAATTATGACAACATTTCACACAAATGTCCAATAAGATAAATTGGTGAAGTGTTGACATTTTATATCCAAAAGGTCAAAGGTCAACTTCACTGTGACATCATAATGTTCTGCAAAAATACTTTTCTGGCCATTTCTCAACACCATAACTCAGGAAAAGAAGGGGAGACATTTGGTCAGACAGTGAATTTGTGACACTAATCTTAGGTATCCATCTTAAAAAAACTGTGGATATGTACTGTATAAATGGAATAGATTTTCACTGCCAGGCTGAAGAAGAAGTGTTAAGCATCCATTTTTTTCACAGACATGGATGTATACTGTAACTGCAACTTGACTGGTCAGTGGAGGCATACATCCACTAGGCAGTAATTTTAGTCTTTTTTTTTACATAATGTGATATATATTTCATTATGCTAAATGTAAATTTTGGTCTCTGGCAGTAAATGGTATTAACAGGTATTTAGATCCTTTTTAGCAAACTTAGTTGCAGTTATTAGCAATCACTGCAGGGATTTCATCTCTGATCTGGTCTCTAGAGGCAGAGGGCTCTGCAAAAGCACCACCCTCTTGAGATTGCAAAGCAGTCCCAAAAGGATGCAACTGTTGGAACAGCTCTGAGCACGAACGGACACAGGGGACATCTGAGGGAAACTGTTGACTCAGGCTTAGCGCAGAGTGATTCACAGTACAGGTGTGATTATCAGCCCAGGCCTGACTGACACTGTTCTGAGTCACTGGGCTAAGAACGCATCAAACTGAAAAATGTATAACTCTCTCAGGCTTGACCATGTCAGGATCAGATTTAGTGGACAGCTGTGGACAATCAATGCCAGGAGAACTTGAAGAGAAATGGCTGAGTGATCACTGTACTGTGCCCTCTGTCCTCAAAAAGAAAAACTCATTCTGCAATGCAGCCACACTGTCATTGACCTTTCTCTTCTTGTGTCCAGTTATGAGGTGCTGATCATTACCCAACTCCCAAACAATGATTCCAATTCTATCCAGTGTCCAATAAAAGACATTCAAACTATATTTATCAATAAACTGGGAAAAAATAGAAGAAGATGAACCAGAAGACCCCAATTGAGGCAATGGAGGATGAAGCTTGTACTGAGCTATGGTGAAACAAGCTAGAAGCAAATACTAGAGCTTCATATATTTGTGATTTAGAAACCAAAGTCTAGCAAACACCCTTTCCAAATTTATTATTTTACTCCTAATACCGCTGCAATATTGATACTGAAAATAGAGAAATTAGATATTGTGACCTGTTCTTGTGACAATTTTATGCCTCCATGTTGGTGATAGCTGTGACCAAAGGCAATTTGGTCAAGGGTCAAGGACACTGTGACCGTGCATCCGTCTCATTCTCATGAACATGATATCTCAACACTACCTTGAGGGAGTTTCCTCAAATTTGGCACGAATGCCCACTTGGACTCAACAATGAACTGATAGTATTTGGTGATCAAAGGTCACTGTTACTGCACAAAACATGTTGTTGGCCATAACTCAATAATTCTACACTAAGTATGACAAATTTTCACACAGATGTCTAATAATAATGTCTAATAAAAGGATAAAATGACAAAGTTATTTTATCTCCAAAAGGTCAAAGGACAACTGGACTGTGATATCATAATGTACTGCCAAAACACTTTTCTGGCCATTATTCAACACCATAACTAAGAAACAAAAGGGAAGACATTTGGTCACTGAACTGATACTGAGCTGGTGACGCAAATCTTTGGTGCCCACCTTGAAACTGTTCTAAGTGTTTAGATCTCTGCTGCAGGTTGAAGATGTGTTTGAAGCATCTATGTTTCAACAACAACAACAAAAAAACACTGAATACCTTTTATTAAATTCCTTCATTGTCTTCACGCCATATATTATATGAGTCTGGACAGACATGGAAGTTGAATTGCAACTTCACTGGTTGACGGAGGCATACAACTGCAACATGGTAATTCTTGTTTTTTTACTGATTTTGTAATTCAAATGGGACCTCCTGGCCTCAATACCGCCAGATTTTTCTCTGGCCCAGCATCTAGTGTCCATTGAAGGAACTGCAGCTTAGGGCACATGTACACTGGTTGTATGATCTGGAGAGATTTTAAACCTATACTGCCCTATCCACTCTGCCTCCAAACTTCGAAATACTATCCCTGGCCATGGTGTGGACAGATTGATGGCAAGACTTGTCATTTTCAACCTTGGCAGCATTTGTTGAAGTATTTCTGGAGCATTTTTGATGTCCATCACTTGTCCATCTAATGAAACAAATAAAACAATCTACTCCTATGATTTTTTTTCGTCTTATTGTCAGCCAAAAACATAAAGTAGACCATTCAACACCAATGTTTTTCAAACTCTCTGTGTATAGCTGAAAGTATAGTGCCTTTTTAGTTTTCTAGTTTTCCAACCACTCAGTGTTTTTACACTGTATGCCACATTCACCTGTTTACACTCACTCACACACCAATGACACAGCTTCGGTTGTGCACATGACAGTATGGTATGGTAAGATTGGGGAAAGAACTGTTGTTATGACAATTATATTATGGTAAGGTATGGTTAGAATAAGACTAGTGCAGCACAGCCCTGACCTCCACACCCTTACAAGCAGCCTTAATGCATAAAGAGCTTCCTGCATTGGCACTGAATGTTGGCACTGGACCTGCTCTGAGTCATTTTCTTTTTTCTTTGGCACTTAGTGATGTGTAATCTTCATAGGCAGCCAGTCAAATCACACAAATCTCCCACTTTCCATATGGTGTGAAGTCAGTGACCATATCTGTAATGACCCTGAGGAGCCATGCTGATGTTGACAGGACAGCTTGTTCTGAGAACAGTGATGGCCAAATGGAGGTCAGATAAAGTTTGGAATGAGGGCATGGAAGCAGTGTTATCAACTAAGCACTTTTTCTCTATATTTGGCAACTTTAAAGACCCCTCTAGCAATTTTCTTTTTTTTATCATCACATCAAGCAACTTTTTTGGCAGATGTTAACTTTTTTTTTCCCACAAACAGAATGTTCTCTCATGGCTGTGACTCACTGCTCGGTGCTCACTGATCATCAGCCAGAAATAAATTTGAATGAGCTGTGAAAGTACGACCCTAACAAACTGTTCCCTATTGTTTTTGAGGGGGGACATCCTCCCCTTTACAGGAGGGAGTTTTTTCCAGGGTCTGGAACTTTCGTTTCATGACACTTCAGTTCCACAGTCTTTACAAAACCCTAATGAGAAGTTTTTGAAATTGGAAGTATTATATATTTATTTAAAATATTTCATATTTCAATTTGGAACTTTAATTAAAAAATAAATGTAAATGCAAATTAGCACAGGATGTGCTGGCAGGTTTTTAGAACGTAAGAAAGTAATTTCCTGTTTCAACTTGTCTTGTCGTGAATCTTTGGTTTGATCTGGGCTTAAATGTGATGAGTTTTTCTTAAGTGAACCTACCCTTACAAAAAGTGAAATACTGCCTTTGTTTGTTAGCTGTATGCCACCAGAACTTATGTTTTGTACTTGAATTTCTCATTGTGCAGTATATTAGTACATCACAATATTAAACACAGGAATATTAAACAGCTTAACTGGTTTGGCCCATGATATTTTTGATCACTTTATTTCAAACATACAGAGCCTCTAAAGTCCCCAAAAAAGAAAAAAAAAAACCTATCTTGTGCGCACGAGATACTATCTTGGATTTTTGTTGGGAGGGACGGGGGAAACACGCACACTTATCAATGATTAAGGATTTGAGTTGAAGTTATTTTATAATAACATGCAGTTATAAGAGAACTAGAATGTTTTGTTAAGAAAATAAGCTGGCTGTTATAATTAAGAGTATTAAACCGCAATTCTTGTTATTTGAATGGCGCAACACGGAAGCATGATTATGTAATAAAACAGGTGTTTATTTTAGGATCCAGGTGGTGAAGGGCTGTGCGCACACAATGTTCCAACAGGGGACAGCCCTCCATTCCGAAACCCCCCCACTCTGAAATTGATTTTTAAGTCCATATCGAGTTTCCTGCATCAAATACTGCCGCCCGCTCTCCGTCACTCGCACAATTCTGAAATTCGTTGTACTACAAAAGCTTGAAATGAACGTTCAACTCATTGTTTTTTATTGAAAATATGTCACTGTCTTCATTTATTAGGCTATGTATAATTTCGCTAGCAGCAAACACATTTAAAGGAGACACTTGTCAGGTCTTTGTATGCACGCTGTCCGTGGTGCTGAAATCCCCGCTCCTGCTGACAG